CTCTTCACCTTCTGGAATGCCAATTATCCGGATGTTTGGACGTTTGATGGTGTCTAGTACTTCTTGTATATTATTCTCAAATTTTGGGGCTATTTTCTCAGTCTTTGTGGTGAATTTTTCCAGGCCAGCCATTTTCTCTTCTTTATCTGAGATTCTATTTTCTGAATGATCTAGTCTGCTTTTAATACTTTCAAGGGAGATTTTGACTTCCTGTATTATAGACTTCATCTCTAACAGTTCCGTTTGAGTCTTTTGTAAAGTGTGTAATTCCTCTCTTAGATCTTGCAAGAATTTCCTCATCTCCTGGAACTCATCAACTTCTTTCTCCTTTCTCTTTAGCAGTTCATTGTCTCTCTTCTCTTCCATCTCTGTTAGCTTTGACATTATGAATGTTCTAAATTCCTTATCAGACATTTCCATGATTTTCACTGAATTGCTTGTGGAAGAACAAGAGTTACTCTTTTCCCTTGGAGGAGAGGTATTTTCTCATTTTCCCATATTTCTCGTGATCTGGAGGTGATTTCTTGTCATCTGATGGATGGTGTGTTTCTTTCAAATTCTTGAAATTCAGTCTGAATGTTCAGGAGCAAGCAGACAGAGGTGAACTAGAATCTCGTTGCCGTTCTGTTGTGATCACGCTAGCTTGTTTGCTGGAGGCTCAATTATCAGTAGAAAGTCTTCATTTCTCTTGTGCCCTGCAATACCTAGTTCACAGGAGCCATGTGGAACCTTCTTCTCTATAATATTTTTTTGAGAGAGAGATTTTTGCTATAGGATGTGTTTGCTCACTAGAGAGACAGAGACAGAAAGACAGAAGGTGAGCGGTCACCCCTGGGATTGCTATGCCACAATCCCCTCTCCTCTATTCTTCTCTGGGATTCTGGGAATGCACGCACACGTGTCCAACATGAGTTTTAAGCCACCAGGTCTGGGACTCGAACCGTGGTGGACTATGTGGGAGTCCAGCAATATAACTATTACGCCATCTGCTGGTTTCAGTGGCTATAATTTTAAAGTGGGTGTTTTCTAATTTCTCCCTTCTTTCCTCTCATTTGTTCTCATCTGTGTCAGTAAGGGATGCTCCTTACCAGTAGTTACTTCTGGTTGCTGTGACTGCTGCTCACTACCTTCCCCCCACCCTGCTTATTCTCTCTTTTCCTGTTTGATTTCTATTGATACTTCCAAATACACCAGTCAATCATTCATTCCAGAACATGTAATAAATAATTGCTGAATAGCTCATGCTAGGCCTGACCATTCTTAAATTTACCAGCTAAAACAAAATTTTCAGGTTTCAGATTTGATCAATTACATCATATGTGGTATTAGAATTGCTGCTAATTTTAGGTATCTTTGCTCATTTCTAGATGTTGTTTCTTTGTTATCGAAGTGGTGTGGTGGTTAAGGCACTGGATTCCCACATGGCTGACTGCAGTTTGAGTCCCAGACCTGGTGACTTGAAAATCATGACAAATAAATGGATAAATAAATAAATACATGTTAAAAAAAAGTAATAAAAAAAGATGTTTTGAGTTTTTTTTTTTCTTTTCCCTTTATTTATTTTCTTTTCTCTCTTTACTGGCCATTTCTAGGCCAGAGCTTTAGATCTGGCAGCCTGAGGGTTGCAGAAAACTGGTTTTGAAATGGTTGAGGCTTTATCTGTTAATTAAGTGTGAGAAATGGTTAGCAACAAAAATCACATATAATATAGAGATCATCCTTCACTATCTTGTATCTGTTTCAGTTTTCTCTAGTCCCTTCCATTCTAATCTTTTTGTTGGCTTTGGGAAGGTCCCTGGTAGCAGAACTTGTTTTTGTTATTATCCAGAGGGGGGTTCCTTTGCCTTTGCACACACTTGTTAATGAACTAGAAGAGTGTTTCCTCTGTGTGAAAGTTGGGTAGAGTGTTGTGGAGCTTCATTTCTGCTGCTGGAATGCTGTATGGAAATGTTCTTGTGGCATTTTACTGGGAAGTATGAAAAGCATGCTCTTATGACATTTCAAAGAGGGTTGACACTTACTCTGCAGTATTACCCTGCAGGGCCTGGAAAGATTTGAACAGATCATGATTTCTTTATTTTAAAATGTATTAATGTTTATAGCTGTACTTCTTTTATACAACAAATATAGTTTTTAACATCTGTGTAACTGAAATTCATGTAGTACTTGTGTTGCTTTGTATTTTGAAATAATAGAGCAACCAATTCTGAAGTGTCCTTTTAAATTGAAGATTTACCTACCTCTTAATTTCCTCTTACAATTTGGATTTTAGGATTGTTTTTTTCTTAAAAGAAGATATAATTTGCTTTCTTGTGTATCCTTTCTTTCTGTGTCTCCTCTTCTCAATCCATCTTTCTTCCTGACCAATTCCCTCACCTTCTTACTTCTTCTCGTACTCTCAGTCTTCCTCCTGCATTTCCATTCCTCTACTTCTCTCCATGAAATAAAATGAAAGCAGCATGTAGATATTTCTGTAGATATTTCTTATATTTTATCACTGCCAACATTTGGATTTTCCAATTTCTCATTTAATCATACCCAATTCTGGATATATTTATTGTTCCTAACTCTTTGTTTATTTTTTAAATTTTATTTATTTATTTTTCTTTTTTGGAGAGGTTTTTGCTATAGGGTGTGTGTGCTCGCCCGAAAGACAGAGACACAGAAAACAAGAAACCACCCCTCCAGGGGGATGGTCATGCTGCAATCCCTTCTCCTCAATTCTCTTCTCGGGATCTTGGGCACGCACGCATACATGCCTGGCATGAGTTTAAGTGACCGGGTCCAAGACTCGAACTGCAATTGACTACATGCGAGTCCAGCAACATAGCCATTCCACCAACTGCTGGTCCCCCCTAACTCTTTATTTTTATAAATTTTAGTTGCCCCCCCCATGTTCATTGATTCATTTCTTCCATGAGACAGAGACAGACAGACCGACAGAGAGATAACACTCCAAAAAGGTCTTTACATTATGACCCACTCCCAACATAGAGATCCCATGTACCTTACCCAATTTCCCCAAAGGTAGTATCTTGAAAAACTATGTCAGTAACACATCAGGATATTGACATTGATAAAATATAAATATATAAAATTCCCATCACCACATGTATTCCCCCGTTGGCCTTTTATAGCCATGCCCACCTCTCACTCCCATTCTTTCCCCATCCCTGATTTCTAGAAACCACTAAATTGTTCCTCATTTCTATTCGGTCATCAGAAAAACCATGATGCATTTTTGCATAGAAAAATATGTCATGACTTTTCTAATGACCAAGTTTAATTTTTTTAGTTAAAGAATGTTATGTAAATGGGACCATAGATTGTGTAAACTTTTAGAATTGACTTTGTTTTTTCTCTCAGCATAGTTCCTCAAGATTCATCGGAGACATTGTATATACGAATAGTTTGTTCCCTTTTATTGCTAAGTGGTAGTACTTAGTATGGATGTACCAATGTTGGTTTAACCATTTACCTGTTAGAGAATTTCTGGGTTACTTTCAGCTTTTGACTATTACATATACATGTGCTATGAACATTCATGGCTAGGCTTTTGCCTGAATGTAAGTTTCCATCTCTCTGTGATAAATGCCAAGAGTGCAATTCCTCTATTGGTAGTTGTCTGTCTGCTTAGCTTCTTAAGCAACTGCTAAAGTATTTCCAGACTGATTCTACTGTTTCACATTTCCACTGCGATGTATGAGTGCAGTTTCTCTTCATTCGTGCCAGCATTTGATGTTGTTGCTATTATTTATTTCAGGGCTTCTGAAAGGTATGTAGTACTGTAACCTCATTTCAGTTTGTACTTTTCCTAATGGCAAAGGATGCTGCATATCTTTTAAGTGCTTGTTGCTGTTTGTATATCCTCTTTGGTGAAATGTCTCTTTATGTCTCTCACTTATTTTTTAATTGGATTGTTGGTTTCCTATGCTATTAAGTTTTGATAGTTTTTAATATATTCTAGGTTCTTTTCATATTTTTTCTTCCTCATTTCTAGATTTTAAAAATGTTAATCGTAATTTTCTTCTTGACTAAACTAAAAGGTAAAAAAAAATTAAGGAATTCAGTTTTATTATATTCATTATTTTATATTCTGTGCCTTGTGTTTTATTACTGTGAGAAATGAACTGCTGCAAATGGTCAAATTTCCCACAGTGCAAATCCTGTGGGAAGGAGTGCATCTATCTATTTTGTAGACTCTGTGTTTGAAAGGACTTGTTAAAGCTATATGCAAAGAGTTACATGAATATTTTCACATAATATAAAGGCTAGTACTAGTTCTGTGTATGTGCACATATGCGTATATATTTCACATACCATATAATTTACCCACTTAAAGTATACAATTTAATGGTTGTTTGTTTCTTTAACAGGGAAAAAAAGATGTGACCCAGATATTTAACAACATCCTGAGAAGACAGATAGGCACCCGGAGTCCCACTGTGGAGTACATTAGTGCTCATCCTCATATCCTGTTTATGCTTCTCAAAGGGTAGGTGCATGCCTTCCTTTCAAGTAGGTTTGAGTTTAAAATGGTTGTTGAAAGTAACAGTGTTCGCCTCATTGGAGATGCAATTGGTTCCCTTGTGGAACTGCAGTACAGATATTTGCCTTGCTTGAGGTCGCCCTCTAAATCTGCCTCTGTGATTGATTACTTAGGCTGCAGCAAAATGCTTTCTTCTCATGTTGATGTTTCTAAATGCTCTGTTTCCATTTACTACCTCTCTTTCCTCCTCTTTTCTACTCTGTCCGTCTCTTCCTATTAGAGTATTGCTATACTTCTCAGTCTGCCCCATCCCTAGCTGCCGGCTCCCTACTTTGCATGAGATTCGGTACTCTCATTATGCACACACACACACACACACACACACACACAGACACACACACGTTCTGGTTCTGAGAACTCAAATATCCATATATAAATTCTCCCAGAAGCTAGCATCAGCCAAGGTGAATGCTTATACAATGGAAATAGAAAAAGTTGTTATATGTATTTGTGGGTATAGAGGAGCCAAAGAACTGAAATCAAGCTAAATAATAGAACCCCTGGTTACTTTTTTTTATGTATAATAATTTACCAATGCTTTTTGGGCATTTTAGCTACTGGAGATCAGGTATAGCAAGACGGTGGCAGCTGTCTTCTTCCTCACCTTCTCTATCTTTCTACTCCACCATTTCAAATCAGCATGGCTCTTTGTACTTTATTTTATATATTGTATTGTATTGTATCGTATTTTATATCATATAGTTTAGCTTTCCCAAAGGGTGTGTACACTCACTGGGGGGAGAGAGAGAGAAAGAGAAATCGCCCCAAGGAGAGATGGCTACATTGCAATCTCTTCTCCATTCTTCTCGGGATTTGGGGCACATACATGTGTGCACCCAGCATGTTTTTCAAGCTACCAGGTCTGGGACTCAAGCTGCAGAACTGGCCCAAAAATCTCAAGACGAGAATGGAGGAGAAGGGATTGTGGCATGGCCATCCTCCTTGGGGGTTATTTTTCACTTTCTGTCTCTCACTTTTTGTTTTTCTTGAAAAATCTCTCTAAAAAAATTTTTTTTTTTTTTTTTTTTTTTTTTTGCTTAGGGTACATGTATCAGAGAGAGACAGAAATGTGAGCAAAACAGATAATCCCTTCTCCTCCATTCTTCTCTTAGGAGTTTGGACATGCATGCACATGTGCCTGGTGTCTTTTTTAAGCTTCTGGTTCTGGGTCTTAAATATTCAGTAGGACATGTGGGATCTAGCCACATTAACTTCCACACCACAGCTAGCCCTCTTTTTATTTGATTGTATTTCTGTTTTTAATTCTGCAGTTCCATACCTAGTTCTCACTTATGTCCAATTCCTCTCCATGTACATTTTTAAATAATTAATTATATCCAAATAATACATAACACACAGTTTAAAACCCAGATACACTAACAAACGGTAGCTCTTTGCCTCTTCCTTATCAATTTCTCAGTCCTATTTCCAAAAGACAACCACTTTTTTTGTTCACTTATTTATTCATGAACTTTGTCATCTTTACTTCTGTTTAGAAACAATTGATTCTACTAATTATTTTTCTTTTAAAAAATATTTTAGAGACAGAGTCATGTCATGTTGCCCAGGCTGGCCTTGAACTTGTGCTATTCCTGCCAACCTCTCTAGTAGATAGAAGTAGATAGAATTATAGGTGTGTGCCACTGGCTAATTTTCCCCTTTATTGATTTTTAAAAAGTCTTTGAAAAAATGAACTAGGTGATAATTTATTTTTACTGCTGCTATTATTCCATTTCTTTCCTCTGTCTTCCTTATATGCTTTATCACAATTTAAAATTTTATTAATAATCACATTTACATTATGATTATTAATAATCTAACCACATATTAGATTATGATGACTTTGGATTTTAGTACAGAATAATATTTTAGTGGAGAATTGTGTCTCCCATTTTCAGAAAGGAAAATACATTTGTATTATCTATTAGTTGAACTTTTATAACAAATTGAATCCCAAAATGGTATGGCTTTACCACAAGATAAATATTAGGGTATCAGGAAAATAATGACATATTTTTAATGTTCTTCTATGCGAAAAATGCATCATAATTTTCCTGATAGCCCAATATATTTCTCAAATAATACAGGGCAGATGCTCATTTTTCTTTAATAACTTAATTTTATTTATTCACTCATTTATTTTAATTTGACCAGAGAGAGAGAGAGAGAGAAGGAAAGTGAAAAAGCAAGCCACCAGGTCCAGGACTTGAACCATGGTCGGCCATGTGGAGGTGTCCAGTACCTTAACCACCACGCTACCTGCTGGCCCCAGGGAAGATACTCTTGATTAGCAGAAGTTCTGTTATCCTCATCATGTGCTTTCTAAGATCACTTTGTTTATATTCGTTGCAGTAACCAAGAAAGTGAAAATATAAAGAGGATTTTTTTGTTTGGAGAATGATAAGAATTCTGGAGTGGCTGGAGCACAGTATAAGTCAGAGAAAGGGATGGGATATAAAGCTGGGAAGGCTGAGACCAGATTATGAAGAGTCTTCCATGCTCTACCAAGCAGTTCGCATGTCATTCTGCAGGTAGTATATAGTCACCATCACTGGGCATGATGAATTCTGGTGGCATGGTAGAAAATGGCTTGGAGCTAGGGGCTGAGATTTCCAGCTTGGCAGAGTCCAAAGAAGAGATAATTATGGCCAGAATTTAGTACTGATGTTGGGAACAAAGAGAGTGGATATTTTAAAAATATGTTAATTGTTTTATGATTCAAAAGTAACATATATTTATTTTTTTAAGTCAAACATTTTAGATAATGTGTAATAGGAAAAGGGAGTGCATCTCATAATCCCTCTCAGAGACACCGTTATCAACAATTTGGAGTACACTTCTCCAATTTTTATTCTGTATTATAATGATTCTCCTTCTATTTTTAAAAAGAATTATTTATTTAATTTTATTTATTATTATTTTTAAATAAGACTCAGAAAGAGAAAGGGAAAGTGAGAAAGCAAGCTGCCAGGTCCAGGACTCAAACCATAATTAGCCACAAGGGAGTCCAGTGCCTTATCTACCATGCCACCTGCTTGCCCCATATCATCTTCTATTTTTAATCAAAACTCTTATTTCATTTCTTCACATACCATGTTATAGATAACACATTGAGTCATGTGCAAGGTATTTCACTTGATGTCTTTCCTTAGGTTATATTATTTAATTCTTCCAATAATACTATTTTACAGATAAGATGTTGTATTAAGTCTAACAAAAAATATAAAAAAGAAATTGATACTTAACCAAGAAGAATCATTTGCATATGCGATATAAAACATGATATAAAGAATCTGGAGCCTGAACCAGCAGTTAGCGTAATGGATATGTCGCTGGACTCCCATGTAGTCGACCACGGTTCGCGTCCTGGACCTGGTGGCTTAAAACTCACGCCGGCGCGTGCGTGCATGCCCAAGATCCCGAGAGGAGAATGGAGAAGGGATTGAGGCATGGCCATCCCCCCTGGGAGGTGATTTCTCACTTTCTGTCTCTCTGTCTCTCACTGTCTGTCTGGTGAGCACACGTGTCCTATAGCAAAAACTTCTCCAAAAAAAAAAAAAGAATCTGGAGCCTCCAGGGCCAGCTGGTGGCATGGTGGTTAAGGTGACAAGATCCTACATAGCCCTCTGCACAGTTCAATTCCTAGATCCAGTGCCTTGGAAAACACACCAGTGTATGTATGTGTGTGTGGCTAAAATCTCAATAGGAGAATGGAAGAGAAGGGATGGCGGTATGGCCATCCTCCCTGGGGAGTGCTTTCTAGTTTTCTCTGTCTGTCTGTCTGTCTGTCTCTCTCTCTCTCTCTCTCTCTCTGCTTCTAGTGAGTGCATATGCCCTATAGCAAATTGAAAAAAAAAAAAGGACCTGGAGCCCAAGTTTTATGAAAAGGTTATAAATAAGAACTTTCTCACTCTAAATGAATTTGTCTTCTGGCTCAGGCAATGACATTCCAGGGTACTGAGAAAACTTAAGGATGAGGTCACTAAACTGTGATCCATAAAAAATTGTGGCCAGTGGCAGATGTTCCAGAATCTAATGTTAAAATCATAAATTTTTCCCAGTAATCCTGTTTAAGAAAGTTTATTGCAAAAATTCCAACTATATTCAAAAGTAGAAAGCACAAAAAAAAGTCCATCACCCAACATAATAACCACCACCATTTTGCTGTGTTTATTTTTTCTGTCTCCCCAACACACACACCTTTTGAGGGGATCAGAGCCTGAGTTTTTTAAAATAAATACTCTGTAAATACTTCAGTAAGCATCTCAAAAATAAAAAGGTAATTTCTACATAAACACAATTTCATTATTGTACTTTTAAATATTTATGAAAATTCTTTAATAAGTAATACAGTCTATATTCAAATTTCCTTGATTACCAAAATAATTTTTTTTCCTAGTTGGCTTCTTTACATAAGGATCCTGACAAGGTACACTTATTATATTTGGTTTTAAATTCACAAATTTTAAGTTCCTTTTCCTTTAGAATAGCATCCCCACATACATATCCACACAGACATTTTTCAGCTATTGACTTGTTAAAAAACTGAATCAGTTATCCTACAGGATGCCCTCCATTCTGTAGTTGTTAGATTGCTTCCTCATAGTATCATTTAATTTGTTCTACAATATTATCCCCCATATTTTTAGACTTGAGATTATATTTCAAGATCTGATTAAATTCAAATTCACTTTTTTTTTTGGCAATCACATTTGGTAGGTGTTGTTATATAGTTCCTATTTCATCATATCAGGGGATATACTTTTGATAATGCTAAGATTGGACAAACAGTCCAGATAGTGATGGTCTAATCCATTGTAATAGTTCCCATCTACCTTGCACTGTTTTATCATCCATTGACGAACACAGCCTGATTCAGTCATTTCATTAGGGTTTACAAAAAGGTAATTTTCAAATTCTATCATTCTTTGTGCATTTATTCTCTA